TAAGACAATACTCAATTGAATATAAAGTCCCGATAAGGGAGAATACTGTAACTTATGAGACTATGATAATGTAGATAAATTCGGGAGTATAAACTTCTCTTTATGCCTCGTTATTTAACATATGTAGTTACGAGATCATGCCAAAATGAAGGAAGTTCCTAGCCTTAACATACATGAGCTGATTCTCTTGACAATCCTTCCAACACACGTCAATTGCGGCAACATGTAACGGCGGATCAAAGTAGGGAAAAATCCATATGATATTCTTGAGAAAGATTGCACCGTACTCCCTTAAAATCGCAAAATCCCGTTGCTATTACCTTATGAAATCTCGTATGAATTTGTTGTAGCTTCATCCATAACTTAGCAAATATAAGCATTCCTCTTTAAAGCTTATGAATAATATTATTAAGTAATAATGGAATGTTTCCTTACAACAATCAAGGAAATGATTATGGCCGTAACATTTTTGGCTTTCTTGATAACATTTTTTAACTAAATGAGATAAAGTGCTTATCTCTTTAAAGGTTTCCATCCTGCAAATTTATTTAAGAGTCACCTAATGGCTCTTACATGGCTGCCACGTTGGGGGAAATTTCCCACTCAACAATTATTCACTTAATTCCTTAATTAATTTGTTAATCCCCCATTAACCAATAATTACCCGATTATCCACATAATTAAGAATTATCTCAAACTACTTAAAATACTACTCATTTTTAATACACCTTATACATCATACTATCATGGTCATGTAGTACCTTGTATGGCACTAATCCATAAATATGGGGTATTGTAACTTGGACCGTATTTTATCTCAAAATGTCAAACTTCAACGAAATTCATTTTCTTCGATTTGCTTACCCTCTCACCTTCACGAATTTACTCGTCACATATTTGAAATAGCATAATACTTATAATCTCCAAATAATCTTCTCCTTGAACTGATGTTAATTATCTTACGACAAATTCAACGTACAATACTATAGGGTATAACATCGTCGTAATATAATACTGCAGTGCGTAACATCGACGTAATACTTCGGGGCATAACAGACTGAAACCATCCTCACGACGAACTCTGAATATTGCATGTGGAGGTCCACTAATGAAGAAAATGCCAGAGTAGGTTATCTTAATCCTTGATGAATTATCTGAGGATGCTAATCAGTGGCCAACTGAGATTAATAACAGAAGAAATATAGTTGGGGTTCACCAGGTGGACTCTAACACATCCATGCAAGCCCAGCTAGACACCATGGCCAAGGAGATAAAAAGCTGACATTGGCCAAGGTATAGAATGAGCCGCAAACAGCATGTGACTTTTGTGGATTGGGACACCATACACATGAGTGTCAAGCATCAAGCTGAGGAATTCAACGCAGTGGAAAATTTTAATAGAGGAAACTACCAAGGTGGTAACAACTATAATTCTATGGGTCAAAGACACCAAGGTTGATCGTGGAGTTCACCTAGTGGGAGCTTGAATTCATGGCAGCAAAATAATCTCAGACCCTAGGGTCAAGGACCACCAGGTTTTCAAAACTAGCAGAGGAAGCAATACCAGCCACAACAGTCAAATCAGTCTAGTATGGAAGACCTCATGAAGGCATTCATCAACAAATCTGATGAAAACTTTGAGACTCAGGGCAAAGCCATCAGAGAGCAGGGCACGACCATTCGAAATTTAGAAAGACAATTGGGACAGATTGCAAATTTGTTATCTGAGAAGTCTCCTGGGACTTAGCCCTTGAACACTGAAAAGAACCCAAAGGAAACAATCAAAGTTGTATCTTTGAGAAGTGGCAAAACATTGGCTGATCCAGTGGTGAAAGCTAGACCCGAGGTGGTGAACAAGCAGGTAGAGATACGAGCAAAAACAAAAGGTGAAGAGCAGCAAGGCCATAGTAGTGGAGTACAAAAGGAGATTGAAGAAAGTAGACATATGCCAACTCTACCATTCCCCCAAAAGATGAAGCGGGAGAAACTTGACAAATGTTTTGGGCGATTGTTGGAGATTCTCAAGCAACTTTATGTGAACTTTCCCTTCATAGAGGTACTCACTCAGATGGCGGCCTATGCAAAGTTCTTGAAGAAAATCCTGTCTAGCAAGAGAAAATTAAAGGAAACAACAATGGTCATGCTAAATGCCCATTGCAGTGCCATATTGCAAAATAAAATTCCCCAAAAGTGTGGGGACCCAGGTAGCTTCATCATACCATGCTCGTTGGGGAGTGAAACATTCGACAAGTCCCTCTGTGATTCTGGTGTGTCGATAAATCTAATGCCTCTGTCTATATTCAGGAGACTAGATGGTGAGCTCGGAGTGATCAAATCAATACCAGTGTCCCTACAACTTGTTGACCAAACCACCATTCTACCTGAGGAAATCATTGAGGATATTCTAGTGCGGGTGGATAAGTTTATGTTCCCTATAGACTTTATTGTAGTGGATATGGAGGTGAAGAAGGAGGTGCCTCTAATTCTAGGGAGACCATTCTTATTTACAGGCAGAGTTATCCTTGATATCTATGAAGGGCAGCTTATGCTTAGAGTGGGCAATGAAAAAGTGGTGTTTCAGATGAAGAGGATGATAAAATACCCCAGTGATGAGGCATCTGCCTACTCATGTTTCAAGTTGGATGTTGTTGGAGAATTGGCTGAAAAATACAAGTTTGACAAGCTTATGGGGGATACTCTAGAGAGGTGTATTACTCAGTTTAGCACAATGGAGGATGAAGATCATGAAGTAAAGAAAGAGGCTGAAGCTATTGAAACTGAAGATCAACTGGTTGATGAGGAGGAACTAAAAAAAGAGGCTTCTAAGCCTAATGTGGAATTGAAAGTCATCCGCACTCACTAAAAATACGCTTTTCTTGAAACTAACAATTTTACTGTGATTATTTCTGATGACTTGACAAGTACACAAGAGCAAAAGCTTGTGGAGCTGCTGAAAAAAATACAAGAAGGCCATTGGCTGGAGTATAGCTTATATTCAAGGAATCAGTCCAGCCATTTGCATGCACAAAATTCTATTGGAAGAAAAGAGCAAGCCAGTGGTGCAACCCCAACGCAAGCTGAACAAAATTTTGGATGAGGTAGTGCATAAGGAGATCATCAAATTGCTAGATGCGGGTGTAATTTTTTCTATCTCTGATAGCTAGTGGATTAGTCCAGCACAAGTTATACCTAAGAAGGGGGGCATGACAGTGTGAAATATGAAGATAATGAATCGATCCCCACAAGAACAGTCACTGGGTGGAGAACGTACATTGATTATAGAAGGCTGAATGATGCAACAAGGAAGGACCACTTCCCACTCCCCTTTATTGATCAAATGCTCGAGAAAGTGGCTGGACATGGATGCTACTGCTTCTTGGATGGGTACTCAGGCTACAATCAAATACCCATTCCAAAAGATGTTGAGAAGACCACATTCACTTGCCCGTCAGGTATTTTTGCTTATAAGAGGATGTCGTTTGGGTTGTGTAATGCACCTGCCACTTTTCAGAGGTTCATGATGTCTATATTCTCTGACTTAAATGGGAAGTGTCTAGAAGTATTCATAGATGATTTCACCCTTTGGTGATGACTTTGAGGGCTGCTTGAAGAATTTGGAGATCGTGCTTGTGTGTTGCGAAGCCACGCACTTGGTTCTTAACTGGTAGAAATGTCATTTCATGGTGAAAGAGGGAATTGTCTTGGGACACAAAGTAACTGCACATGGAATTGAAGTTGACAGTGCCAAAGTGGATGTAATTGCTAGGCTCCCTCTACCAACGTCGGTGAAGAGCATAAGGAGTTTCTTAGGACATGCTGGGTTCTATAAGAGGTTCATCAAAAACTTCTCCAGCATTACCAAATCGTTGACTGTATTTCTAGCGAAAGATGTCAAGTTTGTTTTCAACGTGGAGTGCTTAAGAGCATTCGAATTGATAAAGGAAAAGCTTGTAAGTGCTCCTACTATAGTGACACTTGATTGGAGCCATCCATTTGAGATAATGTATGATGCCGGTGATGTAGCTGTAGGTGCAGTTCTGGGGCAAAGAAAAGAGAAAATGTTTAGGCCCATTTACTATGCCAGCAAGACGTTGAATGATGCTCGAGTAAACTATGCCACTACTGAGAAAGAGTTCTTTGCTTTGGGTTTTTCTTTTGACAAGTTTAGATCATACATGGTGGGGAGCAAAGTTATTGTACACACGGATCACTCAGCCTTGAAATATCTGTTCAGTAAGAAGGGGTCCAAGCTACATCTGATGCGGTGGGTGTTGTTGCTCCAAGAGTTTGATTTAGATATCAAAGATAGGAAGGGCACAGAAAATCAAATCGCCGATCATCTATCTCGACTTGAGAGACCTCCGGTTGAAATAGTTGGCGTAAGAGAAGAGTTCCTTGATGAGTAGATTTTCTCCATTGCTACGGTCTCTGAAAGACCGACTTGGTATGCTGATGTAGCCAACCTTTTATCTAGTGGATGGTTGCCACGTGACCTCTCTCGTGATGAAAGAAGGAATCTTCAAGGTAAGGTAAAAAGTTATTTTTGGAATGACCCTTTCTTGTGTAAATTGTGTGCAGATGGCCGATTTCTATTGGCCTACTTTGTACAAAGACACACGGGCATATGTAGCTACATGTGACAAATTTCGAAGGGAAGGTAACATTAGCAAGAGGGATGAGATGCCACTAAACTCCATTTTAGTATGTGAAAGTTTTTACGTTTGGGGCATTCACTTCATGGGTCTGTTCCCATCGTCCTATTCATATGAGTATATCCTAGTAGCCATTGACTACGTCTCTAAATGGATCTAAGCAATCCCTACTAGGACCAAGATGCTCGAGTGGTGTGTGAGTTCCTACGGAAGAACATCTTTAACCGCTTTGGGACACCTCGAGTGATTATCAGTGACAATGGGTCGCACTTTGTGAACAAACAGTTCGTTGCATTGTTATCTAAGTTTGGGGTCACACACAAAACAGGAACCCCGTACCATGCCCAAACTTGTGGGCAACTTGTAGTGGCTAACCGTGAACTTAAACGAATTCCTGAAAAGACGGTTAGTGCTTCTCGTAAGGATTGGTCGGCAAAGTTGGATGAAGCTTTATTGGCGTATAGAACTGCATTCAAAACAACCATAGGGACATCACCATTTAAATTGGTATAGGGAAAATCGTGTCATCTAACCTGTTGAGATAGAACATAAAGCTTATTGGGCAATTAAGATGCTTAATCTTTATCTTAGTCTTGCAGGTAAACACAGGTTGGCGCAGATGAACGAATTGGAGGAGGTTAGACTGGACGCGTATGAAAATACGTGAATCTTTAAGGAAAAGACAAAGAGGTGGCATGATCGTCTGATTAAGACAAAAGAGTTTCATGAAGAGGACAGAGTCTTACTATACAACAGTAGACTTAGGTTTTCCCTGAAAATTTCAAATCAAGATGGAAAGGTCTGTATGTGGTGAAATACGTCTCACCGTATGGCGCCTTTGAAATACAGGATGAAGAATGGAATGAAACTTTTAAGGTAAATGGGCACAGGTTGAAATAGTACCTTTCTGGAGGATTTGACAAGCAATCCAATAGCATTGCGTTGGAGAAGGTAGTGCACAAGGAGATCATCAAATTGCTAGATGCGGGAGTGATTTTTCCCATCTCTGATAGCCAATGGATTAGTCCAGTACAATTTGTACCTAAGAAGGGGGTATGACAGTGGTGAAAAATGAAGATAATGAATTGATACCCACAAGAACAGTCACTGGGTGGAGAATGTGCATTGATTACAGAAGGCTGAATGATGCAAGATGGAAGGACCACTTCCCACTCCCCTTTATTGATCAAATGCTCAAGAAAGTGGCTGGACATGGATGCTACTGTTTCTTAGATAGGTACTCAGGATACAATCAGATATCCATTACCAGAAGATGTTGAGAAGACCACATTCACTTACCCGTCAGGAAGTTTTGCTTACAGGAGGATGTTGTTTGGGTTGTGTAATGCACCTGCCACTTTTCAGAGGTGCATGATGTCTATATTCTCTGATTTAAATGGGAAGTGTCTAGAAGTATTCATGGATGATTTCACCCTTTGGTGATGACTTTGAGGGCTGCTTGAAGAATTTGGAGATCGTGCTTGTGGGTTGCGAAGCCACGCTCTTGGTTCTTAACTGGGAGAAGTGTCACTTCATGGTGAAAGAGGGAATTGTCTTGGGCCACAAAGTAACTGCACATGGAATTGTAGTTGATAGAGCCAAGGTGGATGTAATTGCTAGGCTCCCTCTATTAACGTCGGTGAAGAGCATAAGGAGTTTCTTGGGACATGCTGGGTTCTATAAGAGGTTCATCAAAAACTTCTCCAACATTACCAAATCGTTGACTGCATTTCTAGCGAAAGATGTCAAGTTTGTTTTCAACGTGGAGTGCTTAAGAGCATTCGAATTGATAAAGGAAAAGCTTGTAAGTGCTCCTATTATAGTGACACTTGATTGGAGCCATCCATTTGAGATAATGTATGATGCCGGTGATGTAGCTGTGGGAGCAGTTTTGGGGCAAAGAAAAAGAGAAAATGTTTAGGCCCATTTACTATGCCAACAAGACGTTGAATAATGCTCGAGTAAACTATGCCACTACTGAGAAAGAGTTCTTTGCTTTGGGTTTTTCTTTTGACAAGTTTAGATCATACATGGTGGGGAGCAAAGTTATTGTACACACGGATCACTCAGGCTTGAAATATCTGTTCAGTAAGAAGGGTCCCAAGCTGCGTCTGATGCGGTGGGTGTTGTTGCTCCAAGAGTTTGATTTAGAGATCAAAGATAGGAAGGGCACAGAAAATCAAATCACCGATCATCTATCTCGACTTGAGAGACCTCCGATTGAAACAATTGACGTAAGAGAAGAGTTCCTTGATGAGCAGATTTTCTCCATTGCTACGGTCTCTGAAAGACCGCCTTGGTATGCTGATGTAGCCAACCTTTTAGCTAGTGGATGGTTGCCACGTGACCTCTCTCGTGATGAAAGAAGGAATCTTCAAGGTGAGGTAAAAAGTTATTTTTGGAATGACCCTTTCTTGTGTAAATTGTGTGCAGATGGTGTGATTCGAAGGTGTGTGCTTGAAGGAGAGATATCAAGCATTCTTTCTCATTGCCATGATGGAGCAGCTGGAGGACACTATGGTGGAAATCGTACTGCAGCAAAGGTAATGGAAGCCAATTTCTATTGGCCTACTTTGTACAAAGACACACGGGCATATGTAGCTACATGTGACAAATTTCGAAGGAAAGGTAACATTAGCAAGAGGGATGAGATGCCACTAAACTCCATTTTAGTATGTGAAATTTTTTACGTTTGGGGCATTCACTTCATGGGTCTGTTCCCATCGTCCTATTCATATGAGTATATCCTAGTAGCCATTGACTACATCTCTAAATGGATCTAAGCAATCCCTACTAGGACCAATGATGCTCGAGTGGTGTGTGAGTTCCTACGGAAGAACATCTTTACCCGCTTTGGGACACCTCGAGTGATTATCAGTGACAATGGGTCGCACTTTGTGAACAAACAGTTCGTTGCATTGTTATCTAAGTTTGGGGTCACACACAAAATAGGAACCCCGTACCATGCCCAAACTTGTGGGTAACGTGCAGTGGCTAACCGTGAACTTAAACGAATTCTTGAAAAGATGGTTAGTGCTTCTCGTAAGGATTGGTCGGCAAAGTTGGATGAAGCTTTATTGGCGTATAGAACTGCATTCAAAAAAACCATAGGGACGTCACCATTTAAATTAGTATATGGAAAATCGTGTCATCTAACCTGTTGAGATAGAACATAAAGCTTATTGGGCAATTAAGATGCTTAATCTTGATC